GCTGCAGCGCAACTTCTACATGAGTGGCAGGAACGTTTGGGAGAACTGTGACAGGCAGGGGGTCTACCTGCTCCCTCCAGGTGCAAGGTTTAGCTGCCTTTTCTATCTGCATTTGCTGGATCATTGGTGCATAGGGCCAGCGCACCATCCCCTGAGACTCTTCCAGTAAAGAGATATACCTGTGTGAAGCCAATTGTCTTTCAGTTCTATCTATGTGGCAAGTCTGGCCAGGGTCAGCTGTGTGTTCCGCAAACCCAGACCACTTCCCACCTTCCAAGAAGACCCTGGCCCACCCTGGGAGAGCCCTTGGACGGCTCGTGGGCACGTCCTGCCTAAGAAGCCTCCCCTAGTGTCTAAGGAGAGGTGGACTTTGCTGTGGGGTTTGCTTGTGAATGTTGGGAGTACACTAGCACACATGGATGCCCGCCGGCTCAAGGGGAGGCACATGGAGGGACGGGGGATTGGTTTTGCTTTGCAGAGCCCAGGGCCTTATGAGTAGCAGGTAAGTGCTGTCCCACAAAGCTGCACCCATCCCTCAAGGACCCCCCAGGGGAGCATTCCAGGTAGAGACAGCGGCCCTGAGTGCCCGACTTGCTGGGCATGCCAGCAGCTGATGGAAGGGCTATGTGGGAAGAACCATGCTGAAATGCAGATGAAATGCACTGCTGGGGTTAGAGGAGAAAAAGTTTCCAAGCGCTTTAATCCACAACTCTTTCTAGTCCATCCCATCCCATCCAATCCCATCCCATCCCATCCCATCCCACCAATGGTCCGAGGCTGGTGCAGTGGTGTGGGGTGGCTGTGCCCTGGTGACTGTTCCCAGCATGGTACAATGCAGGGACAGGGCATTGCAGGTGCTGGTATTTCCTGCACCAGACCCACCACTCCCTGAACAGGTCCCCACTGAGACTCTTACAGTAAAGAGAGATACCTGAATGAGGCCGCTTGTCTTTTGGTTCTGCTTGGGAGAGCAAAGAGAAGGCAAGCAGAGCACGTGAAGGATGGGAAGCAAAGCCCACCATGAGCACGGGCAAGCCCACCCTCGGCCGTCAGGCTCAGGGGGCAACTGCGCGGGAGTGACGGCTTCAGGGAATGCGCGCTCTCACCATGTCACATGGCTGCTCATTTGGGCTTCTGTCCTTGGCAGCATCCACACCAAATGCTGCTCCAGTTTATGGAAGTCCTCATGGATCCAGCCAAGCCTCTGCCTCTTTCATATACTTGTCCCCGTGGTGGTCCCACCAGAAGCCCCCTGAGTGTCCAACCCAATGGACAATGAAGGAGACACCTGGGACACATGGGACAAGGTGGGAATGGCAGGGCTCATTTCATGGCAAACACCCTTCTGTGGCTGTGAGGAAGAGGGAAACCAGCAGAGTGGCGCCCCACGGGGACTCTGGACAGAGGCCTTGGGCAGAGGATGAGATGGCTCTCCGAGCTGGTTTCTGCATCTGTGGAGCGGGTCCAACACTGCTCCCCACCCAGCCCAGGCCCTTACCATTTATTGTTGTACTAAGATTTCTAACTGGTGGTCAACTTATTACACACAGCCGAACTGAACTAGTGCGTTGCTGATGCGGGAGGCCCACCTGAGGGTTGTTGCCAGCAGCATAAAGGCAGAAGCTGCTGGAATGGTGTCAGGGATGCCGTTCCGAGAAGCTGTTGGAAACTGCTAGTTCTCCTGGGCTGTGCTGCTGGAGGACCTTGTCATGCTGGCTGTCCTGATGAACCTTGGGGGAGCTCTGGTCCTCAACTGCAGAGTCACTTCCTGGCTCCGGAGGGGAAGGTGGTGCAGTGCTCAGCCTCTTGGAGAAGCTGGCCGCGTTGGCTTTCCTGATGGGACTCAGCTTTTGTCACTGCTGGAGGAGCTCGGGTCCTCATTGTTCCTGAGGATGGCTGTGGTACTTTCGGGGAGTTCTGGTGCTTACCTTCAGTGTTGCTTCCCGGCTCCAGTTCAGATCCCTCAGCCTGCTGTCACAGATCCTGCATCCTGTTGGCACAGACTTCTTAGCTTCCACCACTGACCTTTGGGCCTTTCCAGCACAGATCCATGAAGCAGACCTGCCTGAGACTTTGTCGTGGGCTCCAAGCCTCCAGTTGGACTTGTGGGAGGCGTTGTTATGGGCTGCAGGCCCTCAGCTGGATTCTTTAGTGTTTAGTGCATGGATAGGTTTCCTGTACTTGTTGTGTATAATTATTTGGATATTCATTATCAAATATTATAAAATGTGTCGTGTATCACATGGCTTCTCTTGCAAAAGAGCCCCAACCACAACAGTCGCTCCCTTTCTGCCTTCAGTGCAGCAGCAGAGCCCAAGCCGAGGGCATCACACATGCTAAATGTGCACGCTCCTCCCAACCTGTCCACTCCACTACCCCGAGGACTACCGAGCAGGTTGCTAAAGCAGGCCACGGGGCGGGGCATGGAGGTGTGGCACCGGGACTCAGGGTCAGGAAAGCTAACTAGCACACTGTCACTGAGCTACATCACCAGCAGTTTCTGAAACCTTATTTAGGGTCGGGATCCTACTACCTTTCCACGTTGGCCTCTCACGCCTGAGCCTCCTGCATGACTCTAATGGGCACTGGGAGGGTGAGGCCTGGTAAGAGGTGCAGCGTGGAGAGAGATGGCTGGCGGCGCAGGTCAGAGGAGCCCGGGAGGGAGGGACTCTAGACGCTCTGAGGGAGTGGGGTCGGCTGCCCTGCGCCGTCTTTCCTCCCCCGCCCCCCGCCTCCCTCCCTATGAGCACCTGCTCTGGCCTTGTATCACGCTGCTTGGACAGTCGACGTGTCGCTCACGCTCATCCAAAGTCCTGGCCCTCACGAACAGGCCAGCCTCTGCCATCACCCTTTAGATGATGTCAATAAAGGCAGGATCAGAGTGTCATTCATGAAGACAGTGTGTGGCAGCCCACTCCAGGCATGGGACACACAGCCCACTCTCCGTCTTCCTCCTCCTTTCCCGAGGGCAAGGCTCACTCGCCAGACTCCCCAGGTCCACTCTGGCTCTCCTGAAATCTGCTCTCCCCATGACAAGAAAGTGCTCTGCTGTGAAATGAGCATGCTGGTCCTGTGCTCCACTCAGAACTCTCTAAGGACCTCCCATTGGCCTCAGTATAAAAGTGGCGAAACCTTAGCAGAACCCACAGCACCAATGTCCTAGTCCTCGGGTGAGATGGCCCGCGTGCAGCTCGGCTCGGCAGCGCATCTCCTGTGAAGAGCATGGATCCTCTGCACCTCTGCTCTGCACCCTCGGGCCTGGCCCCATCCTGACAGGTGCCACCGCTGGACCAGGACTCCCTCCTGGGCCTGCAGCCCTTGGGCAGGGATGGACAGAGGCCCTCTCTCCTTGTGACTCCATTTCAGGGGTGGGGGACCTTCTCTGGATGCCCCAGGACACTTCTCTCCCCTACTCCTCTCCCTGCGTTGAGACCCATGCTCATGACCAGCCTCGCCTCTGGGGCAGAGCCCGTGCCCTTGAATGGGGTGCGACATGTGTCCCTTGACACAGAAGCTATAGGAGGAGATGTGTAGATGACTCCTAAACAGAGTGGCGATTCCGTTGGGAAGGAAGCGCTGAGACTGGAGAGCAGGAAGACATTCCCCAGACTCCCACAGAGTGGGATCCCTTATTTTTTGAAAATGTTTACATATGCCTCAAATGCCTCAGCCACATCAGAGGCACTTCAGCCCCTTGGGAAACAGTCCCTTCAGCTGCTGCCAGCTTGCTGTCAGCTTCCTTCAGGGTCCACCTGGGTGACCCTGCCCCAAAACTTCTCTGGACAGCGCTATCTCTCCAGCCAGCCTCGGTCAGGTCCAGAGGAGCCCCTACATGGCCCCTGGTGGCAAAAGCATGGCTGCATGTGCACAGCCTGCCTTCCCCGGAGGCTTAGCAGCCTGCACTCACTGTCTCTGGGCTGTACGGTGCCTGACCAGGGCCGCCTTGCAGGGCACGGCTTTGTCCCTTTGTGATTTCCATCTGGAGCACAGCAGCACCAAGGCTGAGAGCTGCCACCTCTAGTCACCAGAAGAGCCCCTGAGGATGCCTGGAGGTGGTAGAGGACACCATGGCTGAGGGCTGGCAGCCACTGGCATGCAGAGCTCAGGCTGGGGACGCTGAGTTTTGCATTGTCCATTTGTGATTTCTATCGGCACTGAGGGAAAGAACCTTAGCCCAATGGTGACCACAGGGGAAGGGGCATGGGCGGGCACAACCCACCTGATCTCACACCCTCACCTGGGCTGTCTCCGCAGCTGCCTGTGTCGACAAACACACCGTGGCCAGAACCTAACCCCTCCAGCACGCCCTACCACTCTCAGCCTGCCCAGAAATGCCTTTTCCTACGAAGAGCCAGCCCATTGTTCTGGTCCCAGCAGCAGTAACCCTTCCTTTGGATTCTTCCTGACCCCAGACAAGACCAATCTCTGACCACATGACAGCTCTTCCCCCTCCACCTCTTGTGGCACAGATCCCTGCTGGGGCCGTCCACTGGGCCCTGTGACCATTCCCTGAACACCGCCCCGCAAGGCTGAGCTGTGCGCAGGGGTCCGTGTCCAGCACTGTGCACCACTGTGCGCTCGGTGTGAGTGCAACTGCAGTGCTGGAAACACTCAAACCAGGAAGTGCAGAATGAAGGTGCTCCAAGGGCTGTCCTGTGACCTGACCTCAGAGATCCCTGCAGGAATGGTGGCGGGGATGTCGCCAACCAGTGTCCCCTGGGGGAAGTTCTAGGGTGCAAGGCGGTGCTTTGAATGCAGCCAGGACAGCAGGACGACAAAGGAGGCTCCATGAGGCTTGGCGTGTGTGGCTGCAGGCACCCTCTGCGTCTAGCCCTGGCATCTTTCTGATCCTGGACTTCTGAGATAGATTTATCTTCCGTGAACTCTGTGGCGCGTCACGCGACGATGCACAGACACAGAGGCTGGGGTGGGAGGCTGTGTGTAGCGCAGGCTGTTGGCACCCCTGGAAGCTCTGGAAGGTCTGCCGTCGTTGTCTATAGCATCTGTCGCTCTACATCACGGACAAGGAGAAAGTAGCTTTGGCGTTTCCCACCAGTGGGAAGGTTAGTGGTGTGCCTGCCTAGACAGCGCCTGCCTAGACGACAGCAATGCGGTCATCACGAAGGATGCACGCTTCACCACCAACTTTGGGCTTAGCAGTCATATATAGCTATGTACTGAAGATTGACTCCAGGCAGGGCCTTTGAGTGGAGCTACATTCTCCAGCCCTTTTTAATTTCTTATTTTGATACAGGGTCTCACTTAAGTTACTAATTTGCCCAGGCTGGGCTAAATTCCATGTCCTCCTGCCTCGGCCTCCCAAGTGCTGGGATCATACGCAGTGCTTAAGAATCCATACTGCAGACTAATCAGGTAACAATCCAGTATATTTGTACAAAATTTACTGGGAAACAGTCCCCAGCTCTCACCCACTCTCTGTACAACTCCCCTCCACCAGGCCTGCGGCTTGCTTCCCCCGGGGCAGGAGCAAGAGCCCAGGGAGGCCTGCAGAGAGCTCCTGCATGCCTGCTCTGCCCTGGCCCCCAGCAGCCTGAGGACAGGCCTGTGCTCACTGCCTGCTGGGTAACTGGCTGGGGAAGGAGGCCCACTAGCAGTCCCAGCGCTGCCCCACCCTAGGGTGGCAGGCCCAGGCAGAGTCAGGAGGAGGGGAGTGGGCTGGGAGAGGGACAGCCACGGCCCTGTCAGCAAAACAGTTCCTGCTTGCTGGCCACCGGTAGTTACAGTGCATGCTGATCTCCGCAGGCTCAGTTCCCACAGTGGAAGGGCAATGGACCCCAGGCAGCAGGGCACCCATGGGGGGAATGCGGGAAATGGTGGGCCACAAAGCAGGGAGGTGGGCAGCTGCAGCACAAGGGGGCAGGCCTCTGTGTGTCTGCCCCCGAGCACAGGGCAAGCTGCAGCCCGAGGGTGCTGGACGCTGCTGCTGCCCGGCGGCCGGACTTGGGGTGCTTTCCACTTTCTGTGGCTGCGCTTGTAGCTAATCTATACGAACACACAGTTGTGTGAATTTCCAAAGGGGAAGCTCCGCTGCATAGGGCACACCTTGTTTAACTGACCTCCAGCTGGGCAGTAAGGATCCCGAGTGTGCTCCGTGTTGTTGGCTGGCTCTGTGGCTCTCTGTGTGGGACACTAACAGCCCCATGAGCTTCCCTGCGGACCACAGGTAACCACATGCACGAAGAAGCATGGGCGGGGTGGGAGGATAGGGATGGGGAACCTTGGTGTCCCCCAAGACTGGGAGCAAAGCGTGAAGTGTGGTTCCTGGAAACCTCTTGCCTGTGGGGCTTTGTTTGGGTCAACAGCAAGGACTTACCTAAGTGCCCGGGCATCACAGCCAGGCCCACTCACTCCCCAGCAGGACCTCCCACCCCTGAACCTTCCGGCTAAGAGAATTTTCTTCCTGCCTTTCCTCTCCACCCTCCATTCTCTCCTTCCTTCCTTCCTTCCTTCAGCTTCCCTCCCTTCTCTTCCAGCCTTTCCCCACCCTCCCTTTCCCAGCTCATCTCTCCCTTCCTTTCCCCCCTCTTCCCCTTTTCCCCTTTCCCTACCTCCTGACCCCACACCTTCGCTGCTGCCTTCCAGTAAAACAAGCCTGCCTAAAGCACCAGGGGTCCTGGGCTCTCCTTCTCCCCGCCTCCTGCATTCACACCTTGGGGTGCCTCACCCAGAGCTGGCCAGGGCCCAGGGCCACCGACCTCCCAGCCATTCTGTCCTGTCCACCCTGCTTGCTCCTCCCTTATTAAGCCCCTAGGAATCTTTCCAGCCCTCAGGCGCTGCACCCTCCGCTTCGCACACACTCCACAGGCCGCTCACTCTAGTCACCAAGGCCACAGGTCCCCTGCTCCCCTCCAAGTGGCTCCATCTCTGACCCTGTCTGTCACCAGGAGTCTCTGGGGCTCTTGGTCTTAACCCAGTTTTCCTAGGACTGAGGTCCTTCAAGGTACCCGGGGTACAGGGGTGCCCAAAGCCTCCTGGTGGCCGCAGCATCCAACGCCAGAGATCAATGCAATCCCAGGGGCTGTGCTAACCCGGGGTGGCTTTTGCTCCCTCTTGAGTGTCCAGGCTGCTCCGCGCATGCCTGCACAATCTGATGCCAGGGTGCCGCCTGGTCAGTTTCTGGCTGTGGCCACTTCCTGGCAGCAGACACCACCCCTGCCTGCCTCTTCCCTCCACTCACAGAGCCTTTCCTCTGTCTGGAGTATGGGAACTCACTGGCCACCTTGTGAAGATGCCTGTGCTGCCAGACTACTCCTCCTGGAAAGCTGGCCACGTTCAGGCCAGGTGAGGCAGCTGCCATGAAGAGCACAGCAGGCCCCTCCTGGCCCCAGAGCACCTGCTCACGGCCCTCATGCGAGCTGTGTGGCCTTCTCTTCCTCACTCTCTCACTGTCTTTCAGCCTCCAAAGCCTGTAAGAGTGAGGGCTTCCTTGCTGTAGCATTTCCATGCCTGAACTTGGTTTCTAAATGCCTGTGGGGCTCATCATGAGGGACCTGGGCCTTGCCCTGTCATTCATAGACACTTGAGTTGTTTTTCTGGTCTGGAAGTTCTTTTTTTTTTTTTTTTTTTTTTTGGTGGAACCAGGGATTGAACTCAGGCCCTTGAGCTTGCCAGGGAAGCGCTTATTCTACTGAGCCACCTCCCCGGCCCCTGGTCTGGAAGTTGTCTTCTTTATTCCAGACTCATCTTGTTATTTCCACTCCTCTGCCTGGTGTCTAGCATCTTGAAAATTACTTTTTCAAATGTGGTGAGTTTGTTTCCAATGGGAGGGAAAACCAGGACCTCCGTAAATGGCCTGTGGCACCCAGCCCCACCCAATGGCCCATCCCGCCAGCACTGTGTTCTTGCTGTAGAGGCCCAGGGAGAACCGAAGGGATGCAGGCCTGGCCCCACGCAGGTCTGGCTGAGGACGTCGACCCCTGGGAGAAGGCAACAGAGGTGCCAGGCCCTGGATTATAAGCATGGACGCGGGTCAGAGAGGATCGCTCCTCTGAAGGAATTGAGGACGAAGAGAGACAAAAGCAAATGCATTCGCAGAAATCAGACTGCAAAGTGTGACTTGAGAGACGCAAAGCTCCAGGCATTCTGGGGAAGAAATATTGATTCCGATTCCCAGCATAAGGGAGACACTGAGGCCCGACGTTTGTGTTGGGCTTGGCCAAGGGCATGGGCTACGTGAAGTAGGAGGAGGCAGGGTGCGGGAAGTGCTCGCCCACATGGAGTCCTTCATGCGGATCCTGCGCCAGACACACTGGTGTTGCAGGCAGCCAAATTAGATAAAAATATTACAGGCTGTCAGACCGGTCAGACAGGGTCAGGCCCTCAAAGGAGATAACACAGAATACGAGATGCCTTACAACTGTGGGAGGGACAGATCCTTCTGCGGTGAGCCAGAGACCAAACAAATGCTAACCTCCCTAAGGATCAGCCTCCCAGATTGATCATTACCCTGAGAAAGCCAGAAAAAATCCTTATCTGATGGCTACCAGATAAGGTCCTGCTCTACATTCATGCCCCCTTGCTACATGACTCCCTTCCCCATTTGGTCCTGGACTTAATCACTTTTACCTGAGCGATGGTGCTTGTAATCTCATTGGTTGACCATAGTTTTGTCCCGCTACCTCCACCTCAGCAAGTTCCCATTCTCTCCACCTTATCCTCCCGCATGGTTTTACACTATAAAAGTCCCTGGAAAAGACAGCTTCCCAGGGGACTACTTGCTCGGCTCCCCCTCCTCCTGTCCCTCTCTCAGACAGCAGCTTTGTTTCCCTCAGGCAGCAGCTTTCTTTCCCTCAATGAATATATTCTGCTCATAACCTCTGTTTGTTCCTAAAATTCGTTCTTCGGTTTTAGAGAACACGAACTCATGCAGGTCAGGTCGGGAGATCATTTTTCCCTATGTCATTTGGAGGTTCCCAGTATCATTTGGAGGTCACCCACCCGAGACCAGTTTTTCTCCCTGTATCACTGGGACCTACTACAGGTAATGCTGTGCGTTTCCAGCCCCAGAGGCTGGGCCTGGGTCCAAACCAACTTCAGATTAATGCAGACTGGGCCCAGCACTGTGGTCCGAGAGAGATGCCAGAGAAGTGTGAGAGAAAGCATCCTGCCTGCTCCTTCCTGCTGTCCAGGGAACATCAAATGCAAGCCAGAACTTCGGCTCCTTGGTGAGGTCCGCAGGCCCACTGATCTACCCCCGGGAGCTGGTGGAAGCCAGGACTTTCCAGTATAGGAGGTGAACGTTTCCTTCATGTTTGGCTAAGTTCTGGTTGGAGCCAGGTGGCCTCACCTCCACCTTCCCTCACCCATCCATCCACCAACCTGAATCTTGCTCCCTTCTGCATGGGAAAGTTTCCTGGCCCCTTGTCACTCCTGCTGCTTCTGGTTCCTGTTCCCCATCAGACCGGAGGCTGAACTCAGATGACAAGGCACTACCCACTCTGCCCACCCAGGCACAGGGGCCAAAAGCAGTGTGGAATGCAGAAACAAGCCCCAGAGCCCAGGGAGCTGCTCCAGCCCTGAGCTTGGCGAGGGAGGAGGAGGGGGTGCCTGAGGGTCAGCGCAGGGCAATCTAAGTGTCTGGCAGGAAGTGACAAGGCAGAGGATCTGAGGGCCTGCATCAGTGCAGTGCCCAGGGCCAGCCAGGCACAAGCAGCAAAAGGCAAGGACTGTCACCAAGGCCACCTTTCCCATTCCCCTTCCCGGTCCTCTTCCTGCCCCTTGCAGCTCTTTCTACTCCTCCTGTGCCCCCTTCCACTCTTCCTGTGGCCCTGCCTATGGTGCCTGTGGCCCTGCCCATTCCTCCTGTGTCCATGGCCACTCCTCCAGCTTCACTGACAGCCGAGGTCAGCTGGCCAAGTTACCTCCACTGGGTCAGAGACTCCTAACCTCCCAAAGGAGCCTCATCCTCAGAAGGAGCCCCACCTGTGGCCTGGCACCACCACGACTGACTGGTCTAAGCCTGTCAGCATCTCTATGGGAAGGTGATATGTCTGGCTTTGTGGGGAATGTCACAGCATTGGAGCGTCAGAATGGGAGCCCAGCTCTGGCCCTCTTAGAGCATCAGGAAGGCGGGAGGGGGCAGGGTGTGTCCAGGAGAACAGCTCCTGGGGCGGTGGGTCTTTTCTGTCCCCCAGTCTTAGTTTTCAGAGCCCTGCACTGGTCTCTGGAAGGGCTCACTCGAGGGACTTGGGATCCTCTGACCATACTGCTCCTGACCCCAGGCCAAGAACTGTCCATTTCTTGGGGACTAGGCCTGTGGTCATATCACAGCCTGTGCCCCAGGAAGAAAGCTCACGGTGGCCCACACTGCCCTGCCACGGTCACAGCCAGCAGTCCCAGGAGGTTAATTGTTTCCACCTTAAAGTTACGACATCTCAGCCCTTCCCTAAGGGCAGCACAGAGGGCACAGCCTGCACCAGTGTCGTAGACCACACCGCTGAGCCACACACGGGATCTGAGTCACATGGCACCACTGTGACACGCACTGCTAACATTTAGAAACAATGCTGGGCATGGTGGTACACGTCTATAATCCCTGCACTCAGGAGGCTGAGGCAGGAGGATCATTTAGAGTTTGAGACCAGCCTGGGGTACAAAGGGGGCTCAAGGCCAACATGAACTGCATAATGAGACCCTGTCTCAGAAAGACAACAGAAGAAGGGGACTGGGGAGATGGCTCAGTAGAAGAAGCACTTGCCTGGCAAGCGCAAGGGCCTGAGTTCAATCCCTGGTTCCTCCCCCACAAAAAAAAAAAAAAAAAAAAAAGAAGACAACAGAAGAGAAATAAAACACAAAGCCCTGGCATTCCCCTTTCTTTTGGGAAAGTGGACAGGGGCATGGCTGCAACACAAGACTGTGCCCCTCAGATGGCCCAGGTCAGTGAACAGTCCACCCTCTGCTTGGCTCTGCAGGACACTTGGGCTTAGGACACCAGATGTAGCACCGACCGTACCTTTGCGGTTTCTGCTCTGTTCTCTGATGGGTGCACCTGGTAGAGGGGAAGGAAGCTCCCCACCTGCTGTCTGAAGCTCCAGCCTCAGGTTCTGACACTGAGGAAGGAACTCGAGGAACAGCGGAGGAGGTCGAGTGAGTAGGAAGAATGCATTGAGAGAAAGAAAGCTACTGTCTGGGAGGGGCAGAAGGGGACCTGGAGATGGGGTGCAAACCAGCCCTGCACTTCAGGGCCCAGAGGTGAGGCAGCTTAAGGGTGGGACAGCTGTAACCAACCAATAAGATTACTAGTCGGTTAGTGTAACACCGAGCCAATGGGAAATCAGAGAGCGGGTGTGAGCCAAGACTGTGGTCACCAACAGGATTACAAGTGCAGTCGCTAGGGTAATACTGAGCAAGTGGAGATCAGGTAGGGAAGCCAGTCACACGAGCACTTTCCTGCAAGAGCTGGGCAAGGAGGCTTGGTTCTGCACCCACGTGATGGGTGTCTATTTAGAATGTCCGTCACTGCTGTCATCTCTGGGGCAAGTGTGTGTGTAGGGTCTTAGTTCCTCTTCGCTGGAAGCCTGGCCTTCCATAAATGCAACTCTGACCTTACAAGGCCCAGTCCTGTCTAATGCCTACAATATTCTAAATAACTTAGCTGTCTTTAAAAATCCAGACTCCAGGCTTGCGAGGCTGAGGCAGGATTGCTGCAAGTTTGAGGCCAGCCTGCAGTACAAAGTGAGCTCAAGGCCAGCCTGCACTGCATAGTGAGGCCCTGTCTCAAAAAGACAATAATTAAAAAAAAAAAAAAAAAAAAATTAAATTCACACTCCAGGGCTGGCCAGATAGTTCAGTGGATTAAAGTTTAGGCAGACTCAGGGTCTGGGGGTTCGATCCCTGGCCTGCCATGCCAACTCTGCCCCCGGGCCATTGAGTAGGCAATGAGACTGGGCGTGGTGGCACGCGCCTGTAATCCCAGCGCTTGGGAGGCTGAAAAACAGGAAGAAGCACTACAATTGCTATCTGTGTAGCGAGACTCTAATGTAGTACATACATTAAAAAAATAAAAAACAAAAAAAAAATCCAGACTCCAGAAGTGAGGGCCGGGCTAGGCTGGGCTTCGGGTGTGTTTACAGTGGTTTTTGCTGTCCACTGTGTTTGCTGTACACAGTGGCATCATCTCGATCCTTTTGACCTCCCTCCCCTCTGTCCCTTGCTCTGTCCCCAGAGTCCACCTCCCTGCTTTCTGCCACCTCGCTTTCACTTTGCCCCAATAAGCTGTACTTCGGGCTTTTCCAGCGGGAGCCCCGCGGGGTCGCTCTGCCCCGCCCTCCTCCCGCAGGCATCTGTTGCTTACGCAGGCCTTCGGGTCCAGGCTGAGCCGGCCCGCCCCGCCCCCGGCCTGCGGGGGCGGCGACACCGCCGGCGACGTGGCCCGGGCCCGGCCAATGGGC